TCAATCTTATCAGGCTTATCAATCTCTATTCCCTTAAAGCACCACAGGAAAGACAAGAAAGCACTAAGGAAAAATAAGGCTCAGATAAACTGTCATCTGCCTGAGGTCACACAGCTAGTGACTGAGAGTTGTGAATGCCACATCCCCTGACTCAAAGCCCATGCATGTCCTTTCTATCATACTATTCCATGCTCCCTGCTTAGCATCCTTTTTGTAATAAATATTCAAGAAATCTGTAAAACTAAATGAAAATCAGATGGCTTTGTTCTTATGGGAAACTTTAAGGTTAAAAAAAAAATCCAGAGAAAATAATTTGTCATCATATCTCTGCATATCTTCTTATTACAGCCAAAAAACAAAAAAACAAATTTAATGTGCAGTTTTCAAGAGACAGTATTAAGACCAACTTCAGCTCCTGAAATATTAAATATCTTTTACCACCACCTGTTTCTGATTCTTTATCAGAGCCAAATGGGAGCTTTGACCAGTATGACTGGACAGAGTAAGAATTTAATAAATGTTTGTTGAATAAATAAATGAACAAATGACAAAATTAGTCACTTCTTTTGCTGTTAAGAAGCCTAACTCCTCTAGTTCCTCCTCCAATCTCTTCACCATTACTATCTCACTAGACTGAGAGATAGCTGACAAAAACAACTGTATTTTGGGCTATAGGAAATACAGCTGGCAACCATACTTTTACATAACTTTTCAGTTTCTGATACCACTTACTAAGCAGTTCAATTCTGCTTCAAAGGCATCTCAAAACTATCATGTCCATTTACTCCCATTTGGTTAGTTGTGCAATCAAAATCCTGAAGTTTCTCCTTGATTCCTCCCACTCTCTCACTCACTACATCTAATCTACCCACTTTCCACCAGAGTTTCTACTAGTCCCTCGCCTGCCCTACAATAAATAACCTCTATTAACCTTCTTAATGATCTCCCCACCCTCACTCTTAACCCCATATAGTCCATTCTCCATAGAGCAATCAGTTATCTTTGTTTAGGAAAACAAATATGAATTGTGTTAATCTCCTGCTTAAAACACTTCAATAACTTCCATTAATGCTTCCAATAAAATAAAAATCTTTCACCATGGAATTCCTTATGTTATCCTTCATGAGCTGCCCACCTGCCTCACAACTTCATCTCATAACTCTCTTCATCTTCATAACTCTCTCCCAACAAACCACACTTCAGCCATAGTGGCCTTTCTTGATCACTGTGACTGCTAGATTATTCACTGCAATCTGTTCCTTTCCTTTGTAGCATTTGCCAGAAGGTATTATATGTTTGCTTGTTTTTTGTTTGTCTCTCCCCCACTATTCTCCAAACTCCAAGAAGGCAAGATAAACTATTTTTGTTTTACTACTGTACACTGAATAAAGTATAATACCAGGCATATGGGAGGTACTAACTATTTTTGGATGAAGAAACTGCTTCCCTATTGTGGCGTAATCCTGCCCAACTATGCCAATTTGCCATGCCACGGCAAAGCTATGGCTAGGCTAAGGCCTGGAATCTCACACAGCACCAACTGTCTAGCTCTTAATCCTGTTTGTGACACCAACTGTAAAGCTAGGTGACCAAGCCAGTTGTTGGGCTCTTTTACCTGCCAGTAATACTGCACTGACTGGGCCGACTGTCGAGCTAAGGCTGGGTCTGGAGCTCCCAGACCCCTCAAGCCTATTCACAGACTGGGTCACAAACCCTTCATATGCCAGGCCGGGTCACCAGACCCCACGCACGCCAGGCTGGGTCACCAGATCCCTTCACACAGGTCTATGAGCTAGGTAACCGGCCAAAAGGTACTTGGAGCCATAGGTTGCTGTGCCGGGCGGAAGCCTGAGGCCAATGCCCGCCCACCTGCTTCACTAAAACTCCGCTCTCTCTCTCTGCAGAACACAAGAATAGCAACAAAACTAAAAAGATACATTGGTGCGCACGTCATGCTCTAATTCCACACACACACACACACAATTTGCTTACAAAGGATGTGAACCACAACCAACCTGACCCAAGCTGAGGGCCCTGACCAAACTATTTTATTTTCCCAACACCTATACACTCAATTTATATTAACATATATATTACATATTAGGTAACAAAGTATACAGTTTAAAAAGTAGAGTATATAATATATATAATACATAACTGTTGTATAATAAAGGATTTGGCCAGTCTTTGTCCCAGGTTCCTGGGAAATACCCTCTAAATCCTTGGAATTTCCACAGTGACAGGAGTGTCTGTTATCAAGGGTGGGCCCCTCAGACCACCATGTTTGTTTACATTAACAAAGTGTCTCATTGTGGGCCCTGAGACAGTTTATACTAAAAAGGTGAATCAGGATGGGGGCTGGCCTTGCCAGAAAAACAAACCATATGATTAGGGGGTTGGGGAAATGAAGATTGAGTTAAATCAATGGGGCCAATGATTCAATCAATCATGCCTAAATAATAGAACTCCAATAAAAACTCTCAACACCAAAGTTCCAATGAGCTGCCCTGATTAACAATACTCTGTGTGTATTGTTAAAATAGATGGGGGGAGAGAGGGCAGGTCCTTACTCCCTGTGGACAAAGAAGCTTCATGTTTGGGACCCTCCCAGACCTCCACCTACATGTCTCTTCTTTTGCTGGTCCTGATTTGTATCCTTTTCTGCTATAATAAAACTATAAAATATCAAAATTTATAGGATGCAGGGCTCATGCAGTGCTTAGAGAAAAATTTATAATTGTAAACACCTATATTAAAAATCAGAAAAACCTCAAATCAGTAAACTTCTATCTTAAGAAAATAGAAAAAGTAGAGCAAACTAAGCCAAAAGCAAATATAAGTAGGAAATGACAAAGATTACAACAGAAATACATGAAATAGGGAATTAAACAATTGAGAAAATCAACAAAATCAAAAGTTGATTCTTTAAAAAGATCAACAAAATTTGCAAACCTTTATCTAGACTGACCAAGAAATAAAGGGAGAAGACCAAAATTACTAAAAACAGAAATAAAGTAGGGGCATTATTACACTGTCACTATGGCTTTTTGTGGTGCTAAGATTTAGTTTCTTTCTCTTTCTCATTTGCATTTTTGTTCTACTAGTGGGTTTTGTTCTTGTGTATTAGTGACAGTGATTACCATTTTTCAGATTCCAGATGCAGGACTCCCTTGAGGCTTTTTTGTAGGGCTGGTCATGTGGTGGTAAACTCTCACAGTTTTTGTCTGTCTGGAAAATATATTACTTTCCCCTCATTTCTAAAGGATAGCCTTGCTGGATATAGTATTCTTGGATGGCATGTTTTTTCTTTTAGTATTTTGAATATATCATCCCATTTTTTTCTGGCCTGTAGAGTTTCTGTTGAGAAGTCTGCTGTCAAAGTATTCTCTAATTTCTCTGTGATTTTTTTTTTTATCCATTGTTTATTTAGGAGAGCGCTGTTTAATTTCCACACATATGTGAGTTTTCTAAATTTCCTTCTGTTATTGTGGTCAGAGAACATATTTTTATAATCTTAGTCTTTAAAAAAGAAAAAAAGGAAAAATTTAAACAAAAATGTTCATGGAATGATTCCCATTATCTTTCAATTCTATTCTTCCACAAACTTTTTGAAATGTCCTTATGTTTATATTGTTTTATTGATTTTTTATGCAATTTATGTTGCTAAACTTAGATATTTAATTCCTGTTCCTGATTTCTTTTTATTAAGAGGACTTGTTGATTTGCTCAGAAATTAATTTGCCTTTGGAAAGTTTATTCATCTTCTTCTGTTGAAATTAATTTGATATTTATATGTTTTTAGAAGACTTTAGAGAGTTATTTCAAATAATTATAGATTATAAAATGAAATACGTAAATTTTAATAAGTTAAACACCTCCAGTTTTTGTGAAAATTAGAAACCCTACTTTCTACAGAGTATTTTGTTATTCATCTGTTATTCAGTTTAGTATTTGTTATTTGAACAAAATGTGTATATTCTTGTTATATTTAAAAATAAATAAAAAATAAAAAGGTGGGGTGGTAACAGCGATGAGAGGTTCTTTTCATCTGTGAAGCCTTTGTCAGCTGAGATGACTCTGGTGCGCTGCTCTTACAGCAGGGTGGATATACTCTTGAAAGACAACCCTAAGGGGTTTTCTAGGGCCACCCACTACCTCCTCTTCTCCCACCGAGGTCAGAGAACAGCTCATATATAGCCCACTTGCAGCTCTTAGGTATAATCTCTAAGACTGGGAGCAATAATGTACATTTGGTGAGTGTGGTGGTTGTAAAAGGTGGCTCAAAAAAAAACTAATAATAAAGTAAAACTTTATTTGTAAGTATAGCACTTTCCTGAGTTCTCTGACTCATTCTGTCCAATTACAGAACATGCAGTGGTAGTGGGAACCCCCAAAGTTATAGCCATTTGGCCGGAAATACAGTGGCCTGGAAACGCTTGAGCTTGTGCCTAGTGTCTGAAGCGAGGGCAGTCTTGTGGGCAACTAAGCCCTTAACCTGTGAAGTCTGACCTAACTCCAGGTAGTGTCAGAACTACATTGCAATTATTTAATAAATGATAACAGATACCATTTCATAAATATGTGTCAGGCACTATGCAAGTTATTTTACATACATAGTTCTAAATCTTTAAAAAACATTATCTCTAAGCTTCACAATAACCCCACAAGATAGAATTATCCTAATTTGGTAAATAAGGAAACTAAGGAGTAAAAGCTGCATGGCCAATAACTTGGGGAGTCTAAATTCAAACTCAGGACTGTCTGACTTAGAAGCCCATGATCTAGTCACTACATATATACTTCAGCTTCTCATATTGGTTATGTAAATACATCATAAGATTGCCACCTAAGAATGCATGATGTTCACAATATTTTTACTCAAATTATAGACTGACATGTCATAGTAAAATCTAAGGTACTCTTTATCAATTTATGAACTCTATATAAAGTATGAAATATCATATTTTAATATAAATTCCTTTAGCAATTGCTTAACTTACTTGTTTGTGTTTTAGAAACATGTTTCTGGAGAAAATCAACTATCTGAGCCAAAACCTTCTTATTACAATGTGTTGATAATTTTTCATCACACTCGTAACACCTGAAAAGAAATATAAAATTTAAGCAAATATTATGAAAGCACTTTCAGAGATTTTGCACACTAGGTAACAAAGTTGGTATTTAACCTCTTTGTCTTTAAATTACATGAGAGGAAATACAAAGGGGAAGGCACCGGGTGAGTCTAGAGAAATAAGCAGAGAACAGTTCATACAGAGCTTTAAAGCCAAATGAAAACTTTGGCAATTTATCTTAGTATAATGAAATGCCATGAAGGGGGTTTTAAGCAGGGCAGTGATATGACCCAATTTATATTTTAAAAACATCGCTCTGACTAACATGATAAACTAGATTGAAGGGCATCAGGAATAGAAACAAATTGGTATAACAGCATCAGATCTGGAGAGAAGTGAAGACATTCCTACACATATTTTCAGGTAGAAACAGTAGTGAATTAGATATAAAAGATGAGGGAGATGGAAATGTCAAATAACTGCCATGGGAAGGGAGAAGCAGTAAGGGTATGTCAGTGATTCTCAACCAGGAGCAATTCTGCCTTCCAGGTGACATCTGGCAATGTTTGGAGACATTTTTGGTTGTTTCCTGGCTGCTACTGGCATCTAGTGAGTAGAAGCCAGGGATGATGCTAAACATCCTACAATGCAGAGAACAGCACAACAAAGAATTTATCACAACAAAGAATTATCAGTTCAAATGACAACAGTACTAAGATTGAGAAATCCTGGTGTAGATGAAACAAGACTTGCAGTGAGTTGATAATATTTAAAGCCATGTGACAGGTACAGAGAGATTCATTATACCATTTATCTACTTCTGTTAAAGGGTTAAAATATAAAATAAGATAAAAAGGGAGAGACAATAACTGCCAGGATTGTAGAACACTTGATTACTAAGTGATGGAGGTGCCACTTATAGAGATAGGAAAGACTGAATGACATGGCTGTTTTATTTTGTTTGGGGCTTATTTTGAGGTAGGGGATTAGGGAAGAGATTTTCAAAAGCACATTCCACTTCAGAATACTACCCTCAATTAAGTTTACTCATTAGTGAGTATATTATTAAGATGTTTCTTCTATCTATCTCTTATCTTTGTCTTCATGAGATCCAATGATCATATAAGAATATGTGTTTGAAAGTGTTTTATAAATTCCATAACTCTTAGAGGTCCTAAGATCATGAATAGCCCTGAACTAGATTTGGGTTCCTTTTCTGAACAGCACTCAAAATTCAATTAAATATTTACTGAGTACCCACTCCACTGGTTGTCAAAAGAAAGAAAATAGGATAGATAGATAAAATAGATAGATAATCAATCTGTGAAGAAGACAAGTCACAGAGAACATTCCCCAAAACATCTTTTCCAATAGACCATGATGGAATTCAAACAATTTAATTAGAGTTACCAGGCTTACATTATAATAGGTGTTCAATATTTACTCATGTTATGATTGTCAAAAATAAAAAAATAACAATTACTCGTTTGAAAAATATTGAAATGTCAAGAAATTTTTACTGATATTACAACTTAATTTTTATTTATTTTAGAACATATTGTTTTAACTTTGAGAGTACAAAAAAAAGCAGGCTGGCCAGTTAGCTTAGTTGGTTAGAGGCCCGTATTATAACATGAAGGTCAAAGGCTTGGGGTCACCTTATCAGACAGCCACCAAAACAAAACAAAAAACAAACAAAAAAAAAGCAAGTAAATAAAAACCAGCATGATGGCAGTGAATATGGAGAAAAGAGGACAGCTCAAGATAATTTAATTCTAGTTGTTTCCATTAGAAATAACAAAAAAAATTTTTTTTAATTGAGCATTTACTGTGTTCCAGGAACTATTCCAAGTGCTTTACATGCATTACTTGGTTTAATTCCTCACAAAAATCATAAAAGTAATATTTTTAGATAAATATCTTTATAGAAGTATAATTTTTTTTTTTTTACAGCTGAGAAAGGTGAAAAAGGAGTAGTGTAATAAGAATAGTGTGATAAGAGTGTACACAAATCAGTAGTGTAGGGATACTGTAGGCACTCAAGCAGGGGGCATTCCCTGGCAATATGGCACCCTTCTTCTCCGCAGTAAACAAGCCCGCCAGCGCCAAAACCCAAGCCCACCAGCGCCAAACCTCAACCAGTCACAGGTCAAGGCTCACCTCCCGCCCAGCCCCGTCCAATCAGCTACCGCCCCGTCCACCCCCTATCCAAACCCGGAACACAGCTCCTTATAAATATACGCGCAGTCCTTGAATAAAGCGGAACTTCTCTGGTGAACTGCCAGCCCAGGTCTCGCGTGCCTCCTTCATTGGTGCCGAAACTTGGGAAGGAGTTCACCTCGTGCCAGGGGACTCCTTCCTTGGACTCCTCCGCGACCCCTGGGACTGACAGTCCGCCCTCGTCTATTTTCTCTGGCGCTGACTTCCTTCACCCACCACCGGCTCATCCATTAGGTAAGCCCCCTTTACTTTTTGGCCAGGCTTGTAGATTATTTAAACCGTCACCCTGACCTCATTCCCCCGTCCCCGGAGGCTAAGTTCCCATTCTTCTTTCTTGCTCTCTCTCTCTCTCCCCTCCTCTCACCTACCTCTCTTAATCTTCCTCCTTCCGGGTCCAGGACCCCCACTAAAGCCTAGCGCTAGGTTCCTTCAGGCTCCGGGCCATTGCCCTAGAGAAGTGAGGGTCTAGGTGACAACCTACACCTGCCTTCTCTCCTGGTTCGTACTCGAACCCCTCCCTTGAGACTGGCGTGACTTATTGGGGACGCCCTCTGGGTCTCGTCTTTCTCATCCAGCCGAAGGACTCACCTCT